CCACCCACACTTAGATTTCATTTAGAAGATAAAATTTTAAACCTCAAGCCAGATAGCTTAATGGAATAAAACTATACACACCTTGGTAAGGCAGTAAATATTTTCTGTATGTGTTAGGGATCTAATAATTTGTGGACACTGAGCTGAAGTGATTTTTCAAACACATCTGAAAATGCTATGACACTTTCTGTTCAAGAGGTAGTGTCTATATTCTTTTTTTTTCTTGAACCTCAAAACTAGGCTGGCTTTTGAAACTATTTTGTTCACAGGGTAGCATAAAAGGATGCTGCATAATCTAAAAGAGTGTTAGATCATAGATGGCAATGATGCTGGGTGGGACATCTTCAATGGAGCCTGATCTGGCCAGACAAAGGGTGAATGACCTGCTGCTACCAGGGGTGTGTGTGTGTGTGTGTGTGTGTGTGTGTGTGTGTGTGAACTCAGCCAAATTCAGCTGCTCTGGAACTTCTCTTCTTCTGGGTGTATCCAACCTGACTAACCCAGCTTGGCTCCCCCAGATTCCTAACTCTAGGGAACTGTGAACAATAGTGAAATAGTTGTGATTTGTTACACGACCACAGATAACCAGAACATGGATCATGCTGATATGACCACTATCATAACTTTTTATGCTTCCATGTGAGAGAATGGATGTTTATTTATTATTTGAGTCGTGTCAGACATTTGATGAGCAACTTATTGAATTCATGTCCATCTATTTTAAGATGAGAAAGCTAAGCAAAGAGCGAGTAATGACTTACCTAAAGTCTTACAGTAGGCAGGGCGACATCGAGACTTGAAATACCCCTAAGCCATTTGTGAAAGTTCAGCTCAACATGCATTTCACTCGGTTCAAGTAGTGAGTCAAAGTCATGCCAGGCACTGTGTTAGGCAATGGGGCTACAATTTGGAAACTTCATGATCCTGTGGTGATACATTGTGCTCCCAAAACCTATGGGGTTTGCTGCAGAGACAACAAAAACTTAGCAGGCATGGAGGGGACTCTAGCCCAGGTGGGGTGGAGATTCGGGCCGTGTGTATCTCGGGCCTGAGCTGGGGACTGTAAGGCTACAGGCAAGTGGCTTTTTTGTGAATTCGTGCCCCATGTTGGGTGCCAGAGGTAACACAAATTGCTAAATGATCTTTTAATAAAAACCTGGAGCCAGAATATTGGGGTGACTGCTGAAAGAGCAGAGAGACAAAGGAACAAGCCACCTCTTACCTCTAGGACTCCTCAGCCTCAAAAGCTTTCTTCAGCAGAAAGACTTTAGTTCCAGTCTCCTTACACCTTATATACCTTTCTTTGCCCACTCATATCATTTCTTGTCTTGACTTGCCTAGTGTTGGGATTAAAGGCGTGTGACTTCCAACTACTGGGAATAAAGGTGTGTGCCACCGCTGCCTGGTTCTGTTTCTCTCCTAGACTGAGTCAATCTCACATAGTCCAGGGTGGCTTTGAACTCACAGAGATCCAGATGATCTCTGCCTCCCTAGTGCTAGGATTGAAAGTGTGTGCTACCACTGCCTGGCTTCTATGTTTAATTTAGTGGCTTGTTCTGTTCTCTGATCTTTAGGCAAATTTATTAGGGTACATGATATATCATCACATCATCCCTGCATGACCAAGCTACCATTCTATGGGGAAAATCAAAACGAACAGCAGGCAATTATACATTTTGAGAAATGTGGAGAAGAAATCTGAGATGGTTCAAAGTTACAGCTGAAGTTGTATAATTAGTGGGGATCTTATGGGAAGAGAACAAGACCTGCTGAAACTCAAGTGTGGGAATGTAGCAGAAAATGCTCACAGGTCCTGTTGCTCTAGAGTCCACTGGGGATACATGGGCCAACTTCAGGTGGGCAGAGGGCAGTGTGGAGAGGGGGAGAGAAAGAGGAAGAGAGAGAGAGAGGAACAAAGAGAGAGGGAGGTTGGGAAAGATCAGACTGATATTTCAATCTCAGGGAATATTTCTGAATGCTGTTCCAGGAGCAGTTTGGGAAATTTTAATCCTTACAAAACTCTCTTCGTAATCCTCTCTCTCTCTCTCTCTCTCTCTCTCTCTCTCTCTCTCTCTCTCTCTCTCTCTCCATATGCCTCTTCCTTCCCTCCTTCCTCTCCCTCCCCCATTGTGAAGAGGCTGCACTATTGAACTAGGATTCAGAATGTAACATTGGCAAGTGGAATGGGGCGTTCTCTTCACTGAGGGAATCTTGTCCTCACGTGTTCTGAATCACTTTCCAGATGTTGCAGATGGTAGCCACTGAGGTGAAACTGGCTCGAAACCGTGACTGGGAAGATGGTGCCACGCTGCCAGTCTGAGACCAACTTTGGGAAGAAATAATACCTGTCTGCTCAGCTCGTGTTTTATGTCGAGTATTCCTCTGGTACCAGGGGATGTGCTTGTTTTTCCATTCATTTCCCTCTCAGTTTCTCTGAGGGACCTCTGCCAGAAAAATGTGTGGTCCAAGGGCATCTTTAATTTCCTGTATTTACTGCTCTTGGTCTACTAATACCTTTCTACTATGGTCATATACTTTCCCCCTGTCTTTTCTCTTGAAGATATATATCTAAAATTCACTTTTCTTGTATAATGTTTTAAAAGGGGGTGTACATGGTGGTGCATATCTTTTTTTTCCATGTATTTATTTTTATTGAATGTCCATTGGTGTTTTGCTGTGGGTGTCAGGTCCCCTGGAACTGGAGTTACAGACAGTTGTGAGCTGCCATGTGGGTGCTGGTAATTGAACCCAGGTCCTCTGGAAGAGCAGCCAGTGCTCTTCACCACTGAGCCATCTCTCTAGCCCCTCTTGTATAATTTATTTACTTATTCATGTCTTTTTTTATTTACTTATCAGAATCATTCCTTTTAGCTCAGGTTGGCTTTGAACTTGTTATTTAGCTGGGTCATCACCTTGGACTCGTGATCCTCCTGGCCCTACCTTGCCAATACTGGGATTATAGGCGTGGACTGCCACAACTGGCCAGTTCCTTCTCTTCTCGTATGCTTCCTATTAGGCATGCGGGGGCCATTGAATCAGGGAAGCATATGTTCTGTTCATATATGGAAAGTTAAGGGCAGCATCAGTTTATTGATTAGGGACTGGAGCTGGACAACATCTCTTAGGTGTTGGGAGTCTATAGAGTTTAGAGTCTGGAAAAAGCATTAGTCTAGTGTGGTTGTCCATTTGCAGAGTTATACACAGTAAGTGCACATAGAAGGACACTGGTTTATATACAAGAAGAGAAGTGTAGGACATGTACCGGGGTGGATTGCTCAGGCTTTGCTGACATTGGGTATTGCTTTGAAGCCGAGTTTAGAGTCTACCTCCAGACAAGGAGATGTATCAGCCTCTGGTTTAATTTGTTACTTATTCATTTATAAAACATTTACTAAACTCTTCCTGAAGTGAGAGAGGCCAGGTAGAGAGCATATGACATGAATAATAAGGGACCCAGCCCTTAAGGGACAGTGCTGTGCTGTCTGTGGTATGTAGCCCATACATCCCATGCAGTAACAAAAGGGAGTGGGCTGAGGATTCAGACGGAAGCCCAGAGGGGCTTGGAGAAGAGTGGGAAGGGTAGGGGGCTGCCGTTAAAGAAGTGATTGAATAAGGAAGTAACGAGCAGACTGTGAAGAGGCTGGGATGCCCGAGGAGAGGTCAAACCCTGTTCTGTGTAAGAACAATATTTTACAACTTTCCCTATCAACGCTCTAAAAGCCAGCCTTGAGGAGAACCCATGCAAAAACTGTATCTCTCTTCCTTCAGAAGAAAAGTCACCCTTGTAAATCATTAATGGCCCACTTTTAACCGGAGATGGCAGTCCCCAGAGAGACGATTTCTCTATTCAACTGAGAAGTAAAGAGAATTGTATTGAATTATGTGAACTGAATTGGTCTCTGTTCTCTGGCACCTATCTAGGACAGATTTATAAATACTGAAATGATATAAATGACCATCATTCAGTCTCTTTAACATTATAGGCTTTTAGTGGAAAGGCAAAGTTACTGAAAGGCGAAGTTTCAGTGAAAAGTAGCTGCACTCCAAAAATCTAAATGCCATTCGTTCATATTGATTTACACCTAACTCATCCAGAAGATTTTTAGTTTGCTTTTGACAGTGCCATTTCATAGAAGTTGTGAGGAAAGGAGAATGTTCTTTGCTTGCTAATCCATTTACCACACTCTAAAGGCAACTACGAACCTTTAGTCAGTGGTTCTCAACCTGTGGGTCATGACCCCTTTGAGGTCTTTGGTAGTTTGAATGTAATTGCCCCCCCCCCCATAAACTCATAGGGAATGGCACTATTGGGAGGTTGTGGCTTTGTTGGAGTAGGTGGGACTTTGTTGGAGGAAGCATGTCACTGGGGAGGGAAACTTTGAGGTTTCATATATGCTCAAGCCACACCTGGTGAGACAGACCACTTCCTGTTGCCTGCAAGTCAAGATGTAGAATACTCGGCTACTTTTCCAGCACCATGTCTGCCTGCACACCACCATGTTGCACCATGATGATAATGGGCTAAACCTCTGAAAATGTCAGCCACCTCAACGAAATGTTTTTCCTTTATAAGTGCTGCCTTAGGCTTGGAGAGATTGCTCAGTGGTTAAGAGCATTGGTTGCTCTTCCAGAGGATCCAGGTTCAATTCCCAGCACCCACATGGCAGCTCATACCTGTCTGTAACTCGTTTCAGGGGATCCAACACCCTATGGCAAAACACCAATGCACATAAATTAAAAAAAAAAAAGAGTTGCCATGTCTTCACAGCAATAAGATTGCATATCAGATATTCTGCATATCAAATATTTACATTACAATTCATAATAGTAGCAACATGAAGTAGCAACAAAAATAATTTTTATGGTTGGGGCCACCACCACATGAGGAATTGTATTAAAGGATCACAACATTAGGAAGGTTGGGAGCCACCACCTTAAATGGTTAAATCAGTTTTCACTGTGCAGTGTTGTTGAGTTGGAAAGAATATTCAGAGACTTAATTTCCGAGAAAGGTTTAATGTTAGTCCTAGATATGAATCAAGATCTCTAGATGGTTTTCTTCACATGCTTGCTCTGATGTCTCTCAGGATAATGTTGGGAAGCAGTCATGGTGAAAGCGGAGAAGAAATTGTGCATATTCTAGGTGAGGCGTAACACTTTCGTCAGTATTCTGTAGCTGAAGAGAAATATACAAAAATTTAAGGTAAAGTCCAGCTCTTTAGTACCTGGTGCTAAGGACAGTGATCTGCATTGCAATTGGAAATGTGTGTGTTACCTTTTTGTAATTAGTAAAGGAAATCAAGAAATAAAATGAACACCACAAGCACCCCATGGCGAAGTCTGGATGCACCCACACTTGGGAACAATTGACACTCTTACTTTGCAGTGCCGAGGCCTGGTGAGCCTCCCAGGTTTCTTAGCTCTGGTTGAGTAGCTCCATGCTGGCGGCCATAGTCACCCTTAGAGTTCTCTGCTCCCGAATTCCTTCGGTCTCAATTGTAAGGAGATTTCTGTTCATCAACACTAACCTCCTCACTGTTCCATTTCCTTAAACTCCAATAAAACACTGGAATGACTCTTGTAATGATTTTTGGAATTATTACTGTTTAAATGACATTTGAATACTTTACACACTTTTTTTTTTATTAATTGTCATGCATGCATTTGTTATCAACCATTGGATAAACCTGTCTGCACTTGAAGTGGGGGGGCGGGGGTTGTAAAAATAATATAGGCTTAGGAACCTGAAATCCTGAGTGTAAATTCTGAGTCTACATCTCATCTCCCAGGCACCTTGTCTTTTTATTTTGTGTTTTTCATCTGTAGAATGGTGTGAGAAAAATTACTGAAAAGGGTTATTTTAGATGCCATGAAGATCTGAAAAATGTGGAGTGTGATTTGAATGCTGTTTTATTTTATTATGTTTAAACGGAAACTTTGATTTCTCCTTTGGTGGAAATTTTAAGCAAGTGGGTGGAGGATACAGGATCCGGTACTCTTCTGCAATGGGTGACTGATGAGATCTTTCTCATCAGCCGGCAAATGTTCCTGGAGTATGATCTCAGGATTTGTCTTGCCTTGCACCTTGGTGACTGGTTGTACTGTCTTTTGCCTTGTTCTCTTGGGCTGTCACACTTAGAACTCAGTCTTAATCACATGAGAACGTCCTCCTCAGCCTACAAGAAGCAGGGAGCAGATACAGGACCTGCCAACCCCCAACTCCCATGATAGCCACACTCTAACATCTCTGCTGACAGCCAACATCAACCCGAAGTAAAAGGACCTCCCGATGATTCCATCCTCTGGCCTTGAGTGTGTCTAGCTCAGGCCCCAGGGGGGATGGGGTAGACGTGTGCCGTGTATGATATACTTTCTCCAAATTTCTAACTCACCAGAACCTATGAGGGTAGTAAAATTTGCTTCAGGCCATCACGTTTGGGGGTGATTTATTACACAGCCAATGAGAACGAGGCAGGATGATTCATTTGCTCCAAACCTATCACGGTTGTAAAGGAAATCGGAGCAGGGCTTTTTCTATTGCTCCAGGACCCTTTCAGCCTGAGAGAAAGTTGTGGTTAGTGCTGACTGGAACTTCAGAGCTGAGCAGAGGTTTAGGAACATGGGAGCTCATTTTTCTTTTCAAGTAGGCTCAGATACAATGACATCAGTCACCATGCTTACCTCCTCAGCTTGTGAGTGGAGCCAGGTACATCCCTGCTCGATTCTACTCCCCCGGGAATGGGGGTGTCTTCAGAGAGGGATTTCCCCATTAGGACCACTCTTACTGTTTCTCTTCCTGCCATTCTCTCTTTGAGAGCCATAGTAGGCTCAAGACAGATGGTCTGAGACTTGGGTGGAGACAGCAGGGGTTTGTGCCGCCTTGTAATGGCACATGGCATTCTCCGTGATCTATTGTTTATAGGTCCAGTTTTTGAGGTTTCTTTCTCTTACTTCTCCATCTCCTTGTCTTCTTCTCAACATCTGGACATTTGCCCACGTGATTTCCTCTGTCCCGACTATCTTTCTTCACTCACCACCCTCTGAAGTCTAGACGCAATCCCACTCCCCCACCCCCAAGGAAGTTTCAGGAAATAGAAGCAGTACTTACAGCCCTCAGCACACTGTTGGCACCCCATTCAGAGTCTTAGCACCATGAATTCCTGTTTCCCTGAAGAGGTTGTTGTGCCATTCTTGGCAGGACCACCATCTTGTTCTCCTTCATAACCCCTGGTGTGGTTTCTCAGGAAATTCTTGTTGAATTCCATAAGGCAGCCTGAAACAGTGCCAAAAGTCTTCAGAGTCAAGATGCGCGCAGCTTCCAGGCTCAGGTCGGAGTGGCGTCTGTAAATAACAGACTTGGGAAAAGGTCTTGAACCTTACAAGCTCTTCATATTTTTTTGGCCTAAATTTGCTTCTCAATCAATGGCAAGTTTTGAAAGGTCATTGGTTTCCAATCCAATAGACTTCTCCACGGTGCTGCTGCCGCCGCCCAGAGGGTTTTCTGCCTCCTTGGTTGTACAACCTTGGCTGGCAATACCGTTTATAAGATGCCTTCAGGCTTCAGGAATACATGTGGGCTGGTGGGTACTGCTGTGGCCTGTGGATTTACACGGAAGGAAATGAGCTTAGCACATGGGAATAATAGCAAAAAAGGAACTGAGGCAGCTCTGAGAATAAGAGTAAATGCCCGTTAAGCCAGAGACATTGTGCTGAGGACTTGAAGGCATTTCTACATTTGGTTCAAAAAGCCCTCTCAGGTGGATGCAGTTGCTATTGACATTTATAGGTAAACTCCTCAGCTTTAGTAATGGACCACACTGCAGACCTAAGTTTGCTATCAAACTTTTGTTCTTTCTAGTACCTACACTCCAAAGTACTTCCTGGCTGGTTTTGTTTTGTTTTTGAAGTTGTGCTTTTGCAGTAGGGGAGATGTACATATAATTATTGGAAAGGTTTGACTTTATTGATCTTTGCAGTTCCTTTCTGTGTTCTGTATTACCATCATTAGTGCTGCCTACGAAGTGATGTGTACATGCAGAAATAACATTTTTGCAGAGAGAGTCAAGAAGACATTGAAAATCTCAATACACCACGCCAGACCATGAGACGCTAGAATCAATGTAATGCTTTCGGGCAGATGAGGGCAGGCTTTGCCACATGAAAGGTATTTACTTCTTGAAGGAAATAACTGGAGCTAAAGGAACTAGGGTCATAAGATCACCAAAGATCTAGGAGGTGTGACAGATCTAGATACTCACCAGAGTTCTCATGAGTGGCCAGCGAAGTGCTGGTGTGTAATTGATGGAGTCGTGAGAACTGTCTTCCATCTGCCATCTTGCAGCCCACGAAGCGGTGGAGCAGTTAGCACTGAATACAGCTGGGGAGCATTCACAGTTCAATCCGTGACCGATGACCTGACCTTCCTTGTCTCCTCCAGCTTCTCTAGGGCACAATCTCTGCTTACATCTCTCCTCCCTCTAGGGAACGGAGGGGCTCTTGGTATCTGCTGAGTGTGACTGATGGACTGTTTCCTTTGAGCTCTTCTGGCTGGCACTCAGTTTTGCAGTTTCTTTGGGAAGAACTCCTGAGTGCTGTGAACGCTTCGACCCCACCAGCTTTTCCCTTCTCACTGTCCAGTCTGCTGAGGTTGGCTTCTGTGACGTCACTAAAATCTTTCCCTATCCTTTCCATGTCTGCCTCTTAGACTCACTGGCTCTAAGTTATTGCCTTCTTTATAGAGTTATACCACCATTGTCTCCTCTTTCTCCCCACCACCCCACCTCTGTTAAAAACAAAACTCTGTTCCAGAGTTGTACTGTAATGCTTTTCCCTTCTGGGGAGGGGTGTCAACGGCTATGGTGTGACTGGTACTGGTGTGTGGAGTCACAAGAAAGGAAGGGAAGGAAAGTCAATTGTCATGGATCCCAGGGGCGGGGAGGAGCAGCTGGCAGTAGGCCGTACTCTCAAAGCTTCTCATTGACTGGTGCTGGAGGCACAGAACCCTGGGCTTAGGGTATTTTAAGACCTGATCACTAGAGGACTCAGGCACGTGGGCAATCCTTCAGAGTCTCAGTCTTTCCCAGGGGGAGTGGCCTAAGTAGTGGGAAACCTGGTTCCTTCTATTGTTGAAGGTGACAGTCCATCCTCCCACCCCACCCCCCACCCCGGGGTCCCTGGGCAGTTGAGGTTAGCTGTGTACATCTATCTGGTTTAGGATGTCCAGGTGAAGTTCTGTGTGGGACTCCTACAAACTCTTCCTCAGAATAGAGATGACTGATTGGGTGGCAGCTTTCGGGCTGTCTCTTTCTCTGTTTTTCTTCCCCACAGCCCAACGTGCAGAGGCTGGCATCTCAGTAGTTAATTGTACTGTGTGAGGTGAGTTGAACAGAAATACTCCCCCCCACCCCCCCAGCCCACTGTACCCCACGGCCTCTCACCATATCTGAACAGTAGCTTTTTCTTTCTAGTGCTGTGGAGAAGGCATGAATTTAAAACCAGGAGCCTTAGCTCCTGGAGCATTGGTTCATAATGCAGAATGGTATTAGTGTATTGCACATAATGTATTAGTTTTCTATGGCTGCGGAACAAATCACCACACATTTAGGGGTTTAAAGCAACACAGATCTATTGTCGTCCTCTGTGTGCGCGTAGAATCTGGGTAAGGGGTTAGCTGAGGTCTCCACTGCAATGGGGCATCAGGTAGGCTGTGTTCTGTGTGCACCTTCGGCTCCCCTTCCTGTATATACACACTTCGGCCGAGCTCAGTCCCTGGCGCCTTTGGAACTGATGTGTGTTTTCTTGCTGGCTTTGGTGGGGTGGGGGTGGCGGCTGTCACACTCAATGTCTAGAGCCTGTCCGCCTCACATTCTGGACACACAGCCCTCTCACATATGACTGGAGACTCTCTGAAGAATCCAGGCTCCCCCAGGACAAACTCTCTAATTTCAGTTAACGTCAAACTGATTTTAAGTTATCTTCAAATGCTATTTCCCTTTGTCTTACAATGCAACCGAAATCTCAGGGTGAGACCCACCGTGTTCACGGTCCTGGCTATATTCAGGAGGGGGACTGTAGGTGTTCAAGACAAGGGAGGACTCTCTCAGGCCATCCTCTGGAGTTTTGCTCAAGGCATAGTTAAGAAGGTGGCCCGGAAGACAGAGCTGGAACCCTGCAGCCTCTCCACCATCCAAGAGAAGTTGGACACTGAGCTTTTAGAAACTGTGTGTGAAAGATACTGTTCAAGCCTCCGACTAGCAGCTGAACCCAGTTCCTGGTTGATGTAGGGGTAGAGCTGGATGGAATATTTCTAAGACTGCTGTTTCATGGTTCTGGAGACACTTTTTTTGTTGTTGTTGTTGTTGTGTAGTCACGGCCTGACACCTTGTCTTGGATTCAGACACTGCCCATCGTTCACAACATTACACATCCTAGGTCTGATCTCTCTCACGATCCCCCAGCAACAGTGTTCCCATTGGCCAGGAGAAGTTGTGGGATTTGATGGTAAAAGCTTTAGCTTCTATCTATTTACTGGCTTAGGAACCTTGTGCATGGTGCATTTAGAGGGTGGAGATAATTAATAATCATAGCACCCCTGCTGCATAGGGTTAGCCTGAGGAACAAATTAGAGAAAAATGTGTCAATTAGGGCACCGTGAATACTTCCACATATGTTCACAGTGTGATCTATCTGTCTGTGCATTCTACCAACATTTACCCTGCAGCAGCTACTCACTGAGCATTGAACCAGTCCTGGTGATATTAGTGGGACTAGTCAGGGAGTTCCTGCTCTCACAGGACTCACGGTTTGTGGGAGAAGCAGACATATAGGCAGCAGAGTATGAGGTGTTCTAGGGCAGATGGATGGGTTGAGTTGAAAGCTCCTACCCTAGACGAGTCAGAAAGTCCTTCCAGAAGATGTGGGAAACGGATACGAGTCATCACAATGACCATTTGAGAGAAGAAGCTCTGTGTATCAGGAAGGGTTCTACATCTGTGTATAGAACTGTGCAGACACTATCACTCTAACCTCCAGGTTTCAGATAAAGAAACGGAGGCACAGAGTAATAACATAGTTAACCCAGGGAAGCGCTGCTGATAAGTGAATGGAACCCAACTCACACTCAGGCAGGCTTACGTCAGAGCCCGGATTAGGCGCTGGAAAGGGTGTATGTGGCCTAGGTGGTTTTAGAACAATAGTAATGGAATTCACATTAGATAAGGCAGACTGGGTGTGACTGATAGTTGACAGAAAAGGAAGACTCCAGAATGAGCTGTGAGGGTCTGACTTGATCTAGTAAGAGGGTTCTTCACGGGGTTGGATGGTACAGGATGGAAGAAAGGAGAAGAGCTTGTAGGAGGTGCATTGCAGGATG